TTCTGATGGGCTTTCCTTTGTATGTGATTTGTTTCTTTTCTCTCACTGCTTGTAGAATTTTGTTCTTCTGTTGAGTTTCTGAAATCTTAACTATTATATGGGTACATGTACATTTTTTTTTTAATCGAGACTAGTTGGAGTCCTATATGCGACACTTATCTGTATGTCAAGTTCTTTTCCCCTGCTTGGGAAGTTTTCTGCCATCACTTTTGTGAACAATTTTTTTTATGTCCTCTGCACTCTCTTCTGTTTCTTCATTGACTCTAATCAGTCTTATGTTATTCTTCTTTGCATCATCTAGCAACTGCTGGATTGATTTTTCGTGGTCCCTTATAATTTTAAAGCAATTTTTTTTTCCTGGTCACTAATTGCAATCTTATCTTCTATATCTGAAATTTTGTCCTCACATTGGCTCATTCTGCTGCATAAACTTTCAATGGAGTTTTTAATCTCCTGGAAATCTGTTTGCATCTGTTCTATGGATTCCATTTGTTTTCTATGTTGGGATTCCATAATGTTCCTCAACGCCTCTATTTTTTATCTGTGTTCTCTCTAGATTTATTAATTGTGTCTTGCACTATGGGCACAATCTTTGCTGTTATCTGAGAAATTAATTCTGATTTCATTTTTCCCAGATCCTTTTTTGTTGCTAGTTCAGGGAGTCCAGCTTGTTGAGTATCAGAGTGTTCCATCTCATTTCCCTTTGGGGTTGCTGTAGGTGATCTGGAAGTCTTGTTCTGAGGCTTGTTTATGTGTCTTCTCATTTTCGAAGGGAGTAGGGGGTGTGGGGGGGTGCTTGTGCTGCCTGGGAGGCTCACCTCCTTTGTGCTGGGAGCTGTGGTACGCCTACCCGGAAGCCTCTTCTGTTCTTGGAGCTGTGGCTCCTTGACCGGGAAGCCTCCTCTGTGCTGGGAGCTGTGGCCTCTGTGATGTCTTAAAGAAAAAGGCAAACTGCACTGAATGATGAATAAAGAATTTGTGTTAGCTCCAGTAGAACCCAGCTTGTGTCTGGGTCAGTTTTAGTTTTAATCACAGTTCTACTTTTTTTGCCAAAGCTAGAGTAAACCATAGCTTTTGACAGAAACAAAATGTTCTTGGGGCCCTTCCTCAGCTATTGTGACCTATTGTACATTCACTAAGACAGGTAGGAGACAATCCCAGATTGAGGAATGTTGGATCCCATAATTTGTGGGAATTGGCTTCTCAGTTTGTGTGGATTATGTTATGCTGTTTATTCTCATGGAACTGCGTGCTGACTGGGGTTCGTTCTGCCTCATTTTGCAGATATGGGTCTGCCCTGTGTCCAATCAACGGGCTAGTGAGAAACATTCTTCTCAAGGTAACAGCAGAAACATGAGAGGACAAACTGTCATACAAGTACAGTTTGTCTTAGCAAGTATCCCATCTGCTAATATCCCGTTGGTCAAAGCAATTCACTAGACCTAACCCAAAATCAATGGGTAGGGAAGTATACTCTTTCCATGCAGGTTGTGGGGATAAAGTATGTTTTTGTTGTTGTTTTTTGGTTTTAGGGGACAGGTTTCATTACCTGGCTGGCCTCAGACTCACGATCCTTTGCTTCAGCCTCCCGAGTGCTGGAAGTACAGGCATGCATCACCACACATGACAGATAAAGTACATATCGTCTTTTCTGGCCTGCTTTCTGGCCCTTTTCCCTTACTTCAGTGCAGATATGGCAAGTTTGGCCTACCCTACTGAAATGATGGGTTTTCACTGGCAGTGTAACTGCTTGGTGGTGCCTTGGAAGTGCGAATGTTCCCTCCATTGAGTTTCAGTAAAGGTGAAGTCCTGCCGCAAGGGTGAGGTCCTTTAGTGAGATGGTAAAGGAGTGTATTGTGGCCCCTCTCTCAGGTGCTGCATGGGTAAGTTGACTCCAACAGGTTAGCTGGGTCAGGTGCTCCAGGTACCAGGTACTCCAGTTACTGACAATCACCACTCATACCTGGTTCTCAGAGACTGGCTTGTCCTGCAGCATCCCACTGCAGACAGGCTCTTACTGTCTCTTCATTCCTCCTCCCAATTGGCTTGATGCTTCTCTGAAGACATGAATGCAGTGGTCTTACCAACTCTTATAAAAATGTAGTTCAACTGTATTTGAATATTATTGTAGTTTTTTTCACCTTGCATTGTTCTTCTTTGAATGGTTTCAATTTTTTGTGTATTTGTGTTTGATAATAAAGTTATTTTAAAAATTTTTAAAAAATGTAGTTCAAGTTCATCAACTTATTCTTGTGATTTCTCAAGCAGATTCCTCAACTCCCCCAAATCAGTGGATGCAAATATTTCTGCCTTCCTCAGGAAATTAGTGCCTTGTAGAAGAAAGAGTATTTTATAATCTTCTACCCATTGCAGTGAGGTGTAAGTGAACCAAAATAGTTTAAATTATCAAATGGCATTTGTTGAGTGAGTTAAACTTCTGAGCCCTTCATAATCAAACCCAACCTAATTTCCTTGACTCTTCAATGTTTTCTTTTCTCTTGACCTCGCTATTTGTTTTTCATGGACCACAATCATGTATTGCTCATGACCACTGCCTCATCCTCCTTCATCCCTTCTCCATTCAAATCCTTCACAGCCTTCAGGACCCACCCAGAATTTGCCTACTGCAGGAAGCTTCCCAGCCTCCTTTCTTTAGTAAGTTCTCCTTTTTCTACTTTCCCAGAAGTACATGTAGTCTCAGCCATGATTTGACCTTTAGCTATCATTTTATTTTATTTTTCTAACTGCATATATAATGCAGCAACATAATTTATCTTAAGTATCTAGATTATAAAATCTTGTTGGGCAGAGGCCATGCCAAATACTTTTGTATTGTTTTTATTTTATGTTTGTGATGCTAGGGATTGAGCCCAGGGCCTTGCACATAGTCAGGTGCTGTACCACGAAGCCACATATGCAACCCAGGAATATGATTTTAAACATATAGTAGTTATGTGTTTCAGGAAATTGATGATCAGTTTCAAAATTTATATCACAAAACAACTCCTTTGCTATTTTCTAGATGAAATAAACAAAAGCTAGAAAGAAAGAATCAGAAAAAAGCAAAAGAAATCATCTCAAGGTTCATGTAGAATTTTTAAAGAAATAGTAACTTTATATTTGAAAGCAAGAATAGTTATACTGGGCTGATATTTGTTAGATGATGAATCAGTACTATTTCAAACTCTATCTAAGTGTAATGATAGTTTTTATTTTCCCAGTGTTTTGTAGTTCAGTGAGAACAGCCATTGTTATCTCCTTTCATTTTATAGAAATAATGATTCATAGCATGCATATGTTTTTCCCAGTGCCCCCAGCTGCTAAATGACCAAGCCAGTCTGAAATTGTCTTGTGGCTTCAAATCCAGGCTTCTTCCTACCACTCTCACTACAAATCTCTGCTCATCGAGGATGAATCCTTTCCTTCACTTTCCTGGGGTAATTGTGCAGCTTTTGTGAAAAATCTATCACTCTGAAGATGAATTGAACTATCAGGTAAACATTTAAGGAAAGAGAAGGAGCTAAGTTGGAATGTAAGTAGATCCTGGTGTCGAGGCAGCCTGGCATTATAACTGATGACATAATTACTTCCCATATGAGGCAGCACCAATCATGGAGTGGTGTAATAGACAGAGGCTCTTAAGTATTTACAAGGATGGATAAAGTGACCACCCTTCATTAGCACAGGTGGGTGTTGGAGTCTTCCAACTGTTAACTTAGATGGGATTACAGAGTGAATTTCTGGCCCTGCTTGTCCTTTCAGGTCCCCTGTCATGATTTGTAAATTGCCTTTCTGGGCTTTTCTCTTAGCATTTCCCTTTACTCAGCTTATGGTCCAACTACATTGGGAAACCCAGGGTTCTCTAAATACAGTCCCACTTTTTCCTGTGTCCCTGAGTTGATATATCTCCAGTGATTTCCCCCATTAAGCTGTAGCTCAAGGGCCACCTCTTCTGTGGAGCTGTCCTTCCCTCTATTGGGTGTGAGTTCCCATGCTTCCAAACCTACAAGCATTTTCTTTCTCTGTACTTCTCTTAGGCCACCATTGTGTGCTGCCTTTATTATAGAAACCATGCTGATTTCTCTCTCCCTCAAGACTGCAAAATCTTCACAGAAAACTTATCAGACTTGCAGAGTGCTTGCCACATGATGATCCTCACTGTAAACACTGGCTGGGAAAATGACTGAATGAGCAATGGAAAAAAACATCTTATCCAGCCTAGTGGCTGGGAAGATTTTGATGCATCTGTGTATCTAACATAGCACAGTTCTCAGTGCTTTACATGTAGCAGGCACATTGTGTATTTTGTTGAAAAGAAAAAAAGTGTGTGGGTGAACAAAGGAGTAAAGAATGAATGAACAAATAAATGGTCAAAAATGTGTGGGATACTGGGATGGAAAATCAAGGTGAACACAAGTCATGCTAAATACTAGAGTCCCTTTAAAAGAATTAATAACATTTGAAATCAGTGTGTAACCTTCTAGATGTCTGAAGAAATCTGAAATTTCTGCTCTTACTCAAAATATAGGAATAAGTAATGTACATGTTTTTTTTCTGTTAGTAATGATAATGCTAAATTTAATATGCCAATATTCCATATTCTATACTATTTTTAAAGTAAAAACTGATTTTTCAGTATCTTAATTTTGTATTATTTAATTGTGAAATTTAAAGAAATATAAAGTTGGAATCTTTTCTATCTTCAAGCACATCAGTGAGTTATAGGAAGTAAGATTTCACCCAGGTCCACTTCCTTCCCTGCTGAGAGCCCTTCCAGGACATCCTATTGTTTTACTTCCTGTTTCCTGGGTTTATAATAAAGTTGACATTTTTCTTTTGGATCATTTATACCTCTTAGAGCCAGCCACACTTCTTGGGCTCCAGTGGAATCATCCTAGAATCAGAGGATAAAGTAGGGGTCAAAATCTCAAGTTGGGCCCTTGTCCGTCCTTTCTCAGGTAGAGCAGGAAGTCCTGGCAATCACAGCTTACCTTACATAAAATGCTGTTGTTTTGGAAATTATTCCGCATAATTTGTTTTGTAATATTTTAGTGCAATTTTTCATGTTATCATTGTGATCACCATTCTTGCTCTAGAATATAAAAAATTCCCTCAGAATATGCTCTTTCTCCTCTATCTAAAAACTTCCCTGTTAGCAATTAAGACCAACATATAGAAGAGCAAAGTTCACTCAACTGAGATACATTCACCCAACTGAGAGATATATTTCCTAAACATTTGAAAATCCCCTGTTGCTGTATCTTATGGCTCATTAAGGTAGAATCAGAATTTTTAGAACTCTGGCTCTTGCACCTATTTCCCATGGACAATTATTATCTGAACAATTCCTCATGTGGAAGTAAGTGACTTTGGGTTTGGTCCATTCCCTTCCCTTCCCTTCCCAGGCCCCGAGGCCCTGCACTTTTCCTGACTCCCAGACCACAGGCCTGTACAGGATACTCTTTTGGCCTGGGCCCAGCCCTAGGAGCATTTTGTAAATGGACCTCTGTTGTGTGGGTGTGTGACTTGATGTTTGTACCTCAGTTTTGGTAATACCAAGCTTAATTAAACATACTGAGTTCACTTTTAACTGAAAAAAAAAGACTCTCCCCAAGGTGGTCAGCACACCTGCCAACCTTCTACAGTGTGTCAGCATTAGAGCAGCCCTGTCCAATAGAACTTTCTAAGGCGATGGACATATTCTATGTCTGTCTGTCCAGTGTGGCAACCACTAGCCATGTGTGGCTATTGAGCACTTGAAATGTGGCCAGTATGACTGAGGAAGTGAATTTTAAATTTTATTTAATTTTAAATTTAAGTATAAATAGCCACATGTAACTAGCGGCTATGGTAGCAGACAAGCCAGGTTTTAGACTCTTTCCTCTGTCACCATTGACCCCATGCATAGAAAGAATGGGAATGGGGATCAATATTTCTCATGCTGCTGGAGCATCCTGGTGAGGCCTTGGGCTTTGAGGCCTCTTCCCTCTGCTCTCAAGGCCTCCACCACCTGCTTCAGATGCATGAGTGAGAGCAGAAGGAGGAGCAGGATTTTGTTTAGGTGTTTGTAAGTTCAGTCTCTTCCAGCACCTTAAAGGCCATGTGGCAGATATCAGTAACAAGGTGGGATCAGAACAATCTTGTCCATGCTGCTTTCAAAATGATTGGTTACAACATCTTTAATTCTCCATGAAGATGAAGAGTCTGCAGAGAATCTTTCTGCAAAGAACTACAGTATCACTAAGCAGAGATCTACTCATAAATTATCAGTACCCAAATGAGATGCTTTCTACCACACAGCCCCGCACACCTCTTTGCTTACATACATGATTTTGCTGGGAGACTCCCCCACCACATGAATTGCCACCACTTTCTTCTGCAGAATTGAGGATGTTCTTTCTCATATTGTACTTGTGCCATATCTGTCTGTCCTTTATTGATGCGTTGAAGCAAAACAACCATTTACCTCTTTCCTAAATTTCCTGCTAATGTGGTCTGCACAGGTGAGCAAAGTGTTTACATAAAGAAATGAAGCCACTAAATAAAAATTCTACAAGAGGAGTGGATGGGAGGAAAAGTGCATGTGTGTGCTTTAGATCTGGCCATGAAAGCTTTATTCCATGTGCAAAGACAGCGTTATGGAAATTAGAATGAAAAAGGGGAATTTGGTTTATGTAACCATTTAAAATTTGCACTGCTTCCAGGCCCCTGAAGAGAGGGCCAGCTATTTCCACAAAGGCTCAGTGGCTCGTTTCACATCCTTCTGCTTAGGTGCAGTGACAGAACTGCCCTCCTGCCATCCCGTTGGGTGCCACAAGCTGTCCAGACCTCACCTGGCCACCAGCTCAATGAGGTCGTAGCCTGCAGCAAGCACGGAGGGAGGCACACAGGACTCGTTTGTGTTTTGGGGGGAAGGGACTGTGGTGGTGGTAATTACCAGCACATGATTATTTTATTTTGCTTGAATTATTTACAATGGGAGGAAGCAGTTTGGAAAGAAGGGGATATTAGGGAGTGAGTTCCATCCCACTTGCATTGATTCCACCCAGAGCAAGAAGAGCAAACCTATTAGGAAGAAAAATCACTTCCTTTTCTTCCTCTCTTTTCTCTCTCACCCCCCAAGTCTTGGAAATAAATAAATAATGCAAAGAAAAGCTGTGGTGGGGGTGCTTCAGGGAGGGGCCGGTGGCCAGCATCCATGGCCTTCTCGGAGGACCAGGTTCCCAGGATGGCCAGGAGTGCCCGGCTGGAGCTTTCAAGTGCTCGGCTCTTTCCCCACAGACCTTGTGTTGCGTGTTGGTGCATAATGAACACCACATATGGATTTAAATGCCATTTAGAGGATGTTCCATTATAGAACCTGTAATCAGGAGAGTTGGGTCTTAATCCCAGAGGTGCCATTTCCTTACTGCTTTCTAAATTTAAGATTTATAGCTCTCCACTTCCAGAAGAACTTGTGGATGGTTTACAGAGGGAAATGTAGTGAATGAGGGTACCCTGGAGGTAAAACAGCAGAGAAAGAGCCTGGAGGGAGCAGGATGTGGGATGCTGTCAGGCACCAGAGTGACTGCAACAGAAAGCAATAGGATTGTCAACTTCTGTGCAAAGCAGGGATTGAAAACTCGCCTCCTGTGTGTGAGGGGGTAGGTAGAGTAATGTTTGTGAGAATATCATTGATGTGATATTGCACATTTATATTTAGAAAACAAACAAAAAATGCCAATAGAGACAGAGCACCTCATGACCTAATGCTACTGCACATTCATAATAAGAAATATCCTCAGAATGGTGCCCTGGCACTTTAGAGATGAAAAACTTGGGCAGACAGCATCCCCGAGAGAAATGGGATTTGGACTCTAAGCAAGGTAGTGATATTATTTTTTTGTCTTTACTGAAGAACTTTTGAATAGATCTGAAAGGGCAAATTCATAATGTATATAAGTTGTAAAATTTTGCAACAAAATATTGATGTATCTACTCACCCAAATTAAGAAATATATAATAATTGCCCTTGAGACTCTAATAACATCCTTCTTACTCCCAAAGATAACCACCATCATGAATTTGTGCATATCATTCTGTTGCTTTTTTAAAAACAAGATTTGCATGTGTTTGACCCATTGTATAAGTGGAATTACTTTCATATATGCGTCTATAACTTCCTTTTTTTCCCCCATCCAATATTATGTTTATAAGATTTATTCAAGTTGATTATCTGTAACCTATTTGTTCATTTCCATTACTATTTGTTATTCTGTTGTATGAATACTTTAAAACTTACACATTTTCTTGTTGGTGACCATCTGGATATCTCCATTTTTGTTTATTTGTTTGTTATTACTACAAAACACATTGCCATGAATATTCTCATTAAATGTCTGTTATGGACAGGTTTAAAACTTTCTCCATTGTATTTTCCTGAAAATAGCATTGTTAACAAATAGGGAAGGAGCATCTTCAACTCTATGGATCCCACCAGGATCTTGGTCCAAGCTACATTGCCAACAACAATGGTCAAAAGGAACTAAAAAATCTGAATCAATGATGAACTGATTCAGCTGCTCCCAAATATTTGAGTTATGAGCAAAGAGAGACTGCATGGCTAACAAGTATCCATAGATGATGATGATGACAATAATATTGTCATATGTATGTAGACATTCTAGTTTTGGTTATGCAAACATCAGCAGAAATGGGGAACCATATATAAAGTCACTCTTTAGGATCAATAAAACTGTATTTTTTGGTCTAAAATATACAGATTAGTCATTTACATGGTGTCACCAATCCTGGAATTTCTTCTTCCTTTTAGATATACATGTGCAGGATATAAAAGGATAGAAAAGTGGTATCACTAAAATTTACTACTTGAATCTTTCTTTATGACCCGCCTTTAAAAGTAAACACTTTATCAAATATGATTAATAACAGGGTTCTCAAGATAATAATTCTTGTATAAAATAAGGATGTTCATATAAAAACCCAATACAAGAACCAAATTATTAAGCTCCCCTTAAATCAAATTAGGGATATTTCATTGTGAAATATGTCATTTTTAATGTTGAAAGAAAAAGAAGAAAGTCTTTAAAGATTTGGTGTAGGGAGTAAATTCCAAAATGGGAAACAACACTTGTCCTGTAATGAGATGTAAATCATAACTCAGACATTTATCTTCTCCTGGTGAGTTCCATTCCCTACTGAATCAGAGATGAAAAGAAAATATTGGAACTGAGAGTAATAAAGTCAATGCAGCTATCTTCACATGTATGAATAACATTGCCTCACAAAATGGGAGTAACTGGCAGTCCTACGTAGGACACTTTCCCCTTTTCTGAAAACATCTTAGGCTAAAATTTTATCAATATATTTACTATCTAAATGTCAGCAGTAATAGCATCCTTAGGCCATGGGACAGATGTCTTAGGGAGTGTTAAGGAGTAATAGGTCATTTACTTATTCATGAGTATGAATTGGCTTTCCTTTTGGTAGCCAGCTGGGAGGGTCTCTGTTGAAGGATTCAAAGCTCTAAATTTAGGGGTTGACATAATTCAGGGGAGGTATGTAAGGGATGAGTAAGACAGAGGTGAGGGGTAGAGCAACCACTTGGATGCAGAGCACTTGGAGAGAGACATTAAGTATTGTTGAAAGATGGTGAAGAAAGTGAACTGGGAAGACAAAATACTGCCTTGAAAAATCTATCTTAAGAAAGCCATGTATGCCAGCATCATATAGCTACTTGATTCTAGACCACTGTTGTTATTCCTCTTTGCCTTAAATTGGTTTTGGTGAGCTATTATGGTACCCAGTTCCAACCTAAATTTTCTTGATATAGAAAATGCACTAAGAATGTAGTAGATTGAATTATTAGCTCCAAGTCTTTACCCCCTTACTCTAGCCTCCTGTAGACATAGTATATTTTCCTACTCCTTGACTTTGAGCTCATCTGTGAAATTTTTTTGGCCAACCACACACAGGCAAAAGTGTACCATCCTGACCCTAGGGCTTGTGAAGGTTTGTCTTTCTTTGTTTGCTCTCTTGTGACTTTTGTGCTTCTTCTATCTCCATGAACCAAGATTTCCATGAGGAACTACTACTCCTAAAGCTGGCCTACAATTTGAACAGAAATGCGGAGATGATTACCAGCTTATATGCCTGATCTCCAGCCTATGTGCAGATATATGAGAATAAATGGTAGCTGTTTTATGTCATGGTGTTATGGGATGGCTTGTTACACAGCATTTTGGTGGCCATTGCTAACTGATACACAAAGTTTATGAACGCTCTTACAAGTGAACTCTTGGAAAATAACCCATTGGTAAGTTGAGATTTTCTTCCATTGTAACAAGATCACTAGTCTCTTCTTAATAAAATTTTTGTCTGTTTTTTATTTGGATATATCCCAGTGATAGGAAAAGAGCACAATTTGTTACCTGATAAAGATTAACAGAGAATATACTTTTTAGTATAGATAAGGACTAGGGCTGCTGCAATAGCATACTACATTTGGGGTTTTCAGACAACCCTGTGAAGTTCTAGAGGCTCTAGGCAATTCTTGTAAAGGCTGCTTTGGGATGGGACTCCATTCCCTTCTTCCTTCACACAGCTTCCACCATTGATGAACTATTTCTAGTTATTTTGCCTCTTGGGTTTCCTTGTAAGATTTTTCTAACTAAAAGATGAAAATGAGTTTGAAAACCAGAGATGAGGCCCTCACTTTTCTTGGAACTTCTGTTTTTCCACATCTTCTTTGGTCTTCTACAGGCTTCCTTCAGCAGCTTCTCTGCAAAGATCTGCTATTCATTCTTTGACATTTGTGGTGATTTCAAAACATGCCCCCAAGTTATTAAATACTTCTCCCTTCAAAAGATGGGACCTAATTGCCATTTTCTTATGTGTAGGCTATACTTAGTAACTTTTAGTTTGAAATACACAGAAAATGAAGGAGCAGGATATCCAAGATTAGGATAAAAAACATTGTCTTCTCTCTCCCTTTCTCCCAACATTTTTCAGTTTACTCTTGGGAAAGCCAGCTGAACTGAGTATTCTCAGGCAGCCCAGTGGAGGAGTCCACATGAGAAGAATGGAGGCATCTTTCCAAGAGTCATGTGCAACCTCATGAAAAATTTGAAACTACCCCTTAACTTCTTAGCCCACAGAAATTGTTGGGGAAAAAAATGTTGTTTTAAGCAGCTGTATTTTTGGATAATGCTATGCAGCAATGTACAATTACTACAATAAACTTAAATGATTCTTTTCTATAATTCTCTCCTGAAATGCCTGAGTGAGTACTAATAATATTCTTCTTTTTCATTCCCTTTAGTAGGTACCTTGTTTGTAGAATTTATTCCATTGCATTGTCTATTCACATGTCTGTCTCTTCCATTAGACTATGAGATATCTGTATTCTCAGATGCTTGGCACAGTTCTTGGCATCTTACATACTGAATTAAGGATGATAAAAATAGCCACTGCACAAATCTGGAAAAATCACTTAGAGAAGAATAATTAAGACAAAGGATAAAAATTCATCTCTATCTCTGCCATAGTAATCCTCAGTTTTGGCAAGAGATGACACCTGACAGAAAATCCTCAGATGGAGTCAGCACTGTATTTTTTCCACCATGTGTGAGCATGGAAAGTAGTTGTCTGCACTCTTGTTTCAGCAACTGATGGGCATTCCTGCTTAGAAGGTGAGTCTAGCATCACAGGGTCTGTGCCAGACCAGGAGGGGTGTTTTGACAAGGTGTACAGGTGAACAAGTTGGAAATCTATCACTATTCCAAACAAGCCTGGGATTTATGGCTTTGATCAAGTGTAAACAGAAGATATATAATTTACCAAGCTGTAGAGGGTATTTGGTGTTTCAGAAGTCAGAGCTTCACAGTCAATTCAGAATGGTGGAGGTGGCATCTGGTTAATTCCAGTCGGGCCCATGTGGCATGAGAGCCCTCTGGGCATGCCAGGTGTCCCAGGTCCTGAACGATATATTACAATTGAGTTTTAATGATGGCGATGATTTGTGCCTTTATTTCGATGATCATCTAAATACTAGTAGAGGAATATACTGGATCATATGGACGTCAGATTAATATCTTAGAACTGTCATGTGATTTCAGGTCCAGATTTTATGACTTGTGGTGGCTCAGGCGTCCTCTCAAGTGCTAGGACCTAACTTCTGATGCACTGATTCTCAGATGGGGCCTGTGGGCTTGTCATTTCAAGGAGCCACAAGTTCTCACATTTGGGAAACAGTGATAGAGACAATAAATGGTTCCTCTGAGGAGAGATTATTGATTTTTCATCTGGGTAGTCAAGGGAAGGCTTTATGAGGGAGCTGGCATCTGAGTTGGCCCTCAAGGACAGACCCTGCATGCTTTCTCTTAACAAATGACATCCAATGTCCATTTAAACTATCTGCTTGAGAAAATACCCCACTTCCAGAGGCCATTCATTCCCTCCTGCTTATTCTTTGAAAACCTCCACGTGTTCATTACAATCCATGATTGCATGGCTCAGAGAGAGAGAGAGAGAATAGAGTGGCAGAACTTTGTGTGGAGGTGACATAGAGGAAAGGAAGGGGAGCAGCTTGGTTAGGGAATAGGTGGCAGCTCAGTTTAGCTGCTGTGCAGGGCAAATGCAGGGTGCAGGAAGATAGGCTGCAAAGCTGACAAAGGCCTAGGGTGGAGAGCAAGGCATTTTGTTTTTCTGAGTGCATTTTCTCCCTGTAATTAAGAAGAGGAGTTAATTTAATTTTTTTTTTTTTGCAGAGGTGGTCATTTTATATCAATAGAGATGACTGAAAATACAGCAGGTAACACAAATTCATGATTATATTGTTGAACAACCATCTCTGCATCATTCTGTTTAAGAATTCTTGCGTATCTTTAAAGCTTTGGGGTATTTAGGGAATTTTTAATAAATGTGTCATATCTGTTCCTTATAGAAGACATGTGCTTTTAGTATTATCTTGCTATTGTGAAGGTTGAGCCTGGAGAGTCATATTTAAACTACATACCATTGCTCATAGCCCCTTATCTGCTCTTACTCAAGTGAACACTTGACCTTGAGAGAACCAATTCATTATCTGGGCGGAGCTGATCAGACTGTTATGGGAATTTGGAATTGGGACATTGAGAGACTGAACAAAAAGAGGATAGTGCTATATCTGAAAGGTCATGCTAAATCAAACCATGTTGATAGTAGAGGAAACTGGTTGGAAGAGAGAGGTAGAGAGTAAGAACAGAATGGCAGAGGTGAAATATCTGTAGAGAGAATAACCCTGCCTTCTGATATTCCAATTCCAGTTCTACTTTGTACTTGGCCTGCATATAATTTGATTCCTGTCTATGTTTCCAATCCTCTGCTGGATTGGCTATTGTCTTTACAACAAAATCCTCTACACTGAAGCTCATTTGAGTGGATTACTCTTTCTTGCATCCACACATAATCCATCTAAAATATTTCTGAATTTTCATACCAAGCTACTGGTTTGTAAGAGACCATCAAGGTAAAGGGAGTCACATCAGCTGGACACATTGAATGCTCAACCAGCTTCCACCCATTAAGCACAAGGGAGACACCGGTGGCTTCAGCCTATAAGTGGGACTTGGGTAAACAAATTGGCAAAGTGCAACTGGAGCACTGCTTGGAGAGATTCCACCTCTTGATGTGACTGAGGATGGACCACAGACCTCAGCAGTCACTGACCACAGCTGAGGATATTTTTATAAGAATCTGAGACAAGTAACCACAGTGATTATATATATGTGCATATGCATATCTACATATAGAATATCTATGCAAGACATTTATATACATACTCTTACTTTTACATATACTGCATAAACATATATAATATGCACATTATAATATATTATATGTGAATACTCTTAATTTCCCATTGTTCTTTACTTGTAACAAAATCTCAAAATTGAAGAAAAATCATTCCCATTCTTTCAAGTGCCTGATGAAAGCCAAGATCTCTTTATACTAACTACAACATTTAATCAGGAGTGTGTAATATGAATATGCCCACGGTAATGAATTTCAGGAAGCACTACCTGCAGACATTGTCAGTAACTGAATTCCTAGGCTATGCAACTTGTAATTGAAAATCTTTACATTTTAGTTCCACCTGTCATTTTTCTAATTCTACTCACCGAGTATCTATTAAAATCATACCTTTTCTCTGCCTATCAAAGGTTATGCTTTAGTGGAAATGCATATCTTTGGGAATTATGAGTTCTAACGTATTGGTGATTTGGAACTTTTTAGAATAATTTGATGTGTTTCAGGGTTGTTGTAACTTGTGGGAAGGATTTACATCGTGATAAATAATAAACTTCGTTAATACGAGATAGCAATGAGAATTGCAATTTTAAAGTCTTTTTTTCAAAATGCCTAGAATCTTCTTAAGACAGATATGCAGTTGGAAAAATTGGGGCTAAACCAGGGGTGGAGATCCAGGGGATTTTTCTTTGCAATTTTTCCTTGAAGAAGCTTTGCTGTCCTATTGCTTATCTACCCATCTGTGAGGACTCTGTCCCTCAAGCACAGAGGCTAATGGCAACATAATGAATTTTGCTTATCCTCCCTCTTGTTAGATTTCTTTGAGGATGGAAATTTTACATGGAACAACCAAACTACATCACAAAATGGTATTGATATTATGGGATTGCATCAATAGCATTGGCTGTTTCATTTCCATCCACTTATCAGACATATTTACTTCTCAGATATTTCCTTAACCGGAATTGACTGTACTATAATTGCCTATTTCTTTGGTCCATTGGCTGTTAACCTTGAAGTGACTGGGGTAGAGCTGGCAAGGCCTTCCCTGTCAGGCCTGACCTCTCACTATGCTGGAGAGAGCGCTGCCATGACAACGGCGACAGATGTCAGCTAAGCAATGTGCACCCTAGAAAGACTCCTGTATTGAGAAAATCGATCTTGTAATGGTGCCACGGAGCACATTCGCTGAACTGCCAAGTGTTCTAGGCTTAATCATTTATTTCATCTAGCAGAGAGAAGAAAACATAAAAGAAATGAAATGAATTTGACCTCGGTCTTTTGAGTGACTTTAGTGCTACACTGAATTCTAGCAAGTGCCTCTTATGAATTTTAAAAAATTACATTAGGAATAACATTTTGAAGTGAAATGACTCTTGTAATGCCAACCCTCCAGAAACATGTTATTTCAAATGTCAGATACGTAATAGTCATTTACTATTTTCTGTGTATGTCCAGGGGTTACCTCTGTCTTGAGTATGTTTCAGGCAAATTACTAGAAAGGAACCAGGAATGAAGCAGACCGACCATCCTGCTTTGGCTTTCTGCTTTTTTCTTAGCTCAAGGCAGCTGCTTTTGTGCTGAGCACCACAGGGTTTAGTGGATAGCATAAGTAGTGTTGCATATTGAGCTTCTGAATCCCTCTCAATTTTGCAGTCTTCCAATAGAAAGCATGTTCTTGTCTATCTCCATAGTGAAGTTTGTCCCCCTGGCAGTTTATCCTGGGACAGCCTTCCATCGCCTTGATAGGCTTGTCATTCATGTCTTGACACCACTCATTCATCTGAGTCTGGCCTGCTGGATATGCAAATAACTGGAGAACTGAAAACCATAATCCCTCAGCTGTGATGACCAGTATGTCAATGTCACTATTCCTGGAATGAGCTATTCTATCAAGAGCCAGGGAGAGATGGGTGCCTCTAAGCCCAGAGACACCGCATGGACTTATGACCTCTTTTTCTTTGGCCAAGGTCAGAACTAGATTTTTTAAAAAGCAAACACCCAAACCAAGACAAACCCTCATAGCCTAAAGATTGTAGACAAATCTCTCTGATAACCTTGCCCATATAAATAAATATCCCTGAGAGTGATTATAGTGAAAAGGATCTCTGAAGATTTTCAATACGATATGTCTGTCTCTTGTGCTGTGGGATATTTTATTGCATTTTTGCCCCCAAGTGGAGCTGACGGGAGCCAAGCTTGTAATTTAAATCAATAAGAACCCTTTACCATGGTCATAAAATACTTGGCTAAACCTTTGAAGTGGCCACAGTTGAATGCACAGTGAACACAGTATAAATGTTCCTTAAGATGTATTGTAAGAGACCACTACTAAAACAGCATTCAAAGGAACCGGCCTTCAGCATGGTTTGTGACTGATGGGTTAGGGTCCCAACTGCTTTTGATCATTTACATGCTCTGATCACATAGCCATGTGAAGTTACTCCAAACAAGTCTACTTAATTGGCACATCATCCAGCCACAGCCTTCTGTTTTCTCCTCAGCCCTTTCCATTTTGTCTTGGTGGGGTTTCTGGAGATTTGAGTCCCCTTAAAAACTGCTAACCCACATCAGATATGCTGTGTGTTGATTGCTTCTGTCCATTTCCACCACACATCAGGAAAACAGAACAAAGGCTAGTTGTTTAGACAATCTTGGGAGCCGAGCACGGGCGACTCTGGAAGCTGGCTGGGAAATATTCTCTGTGTAAAACCCCTCCGAGGGTGCAACTTACCTGTAAGCTTCTTTTGCAGTGGTTTATTTTTGGAGTCATGTTTTCCAGTAAAGCATCAGACTTGAGAAGATGTTTATCTTCACTCTGTGCTTTTCTGTCTCATGGTTGCTTGATTTCTGCCTACTCCTTCCTCCAGCTTCTTCTTGCTTTTTCTTGTGACGATGGGTAGATAGATGGATGGATGCTTCCTTACTCTTACCCTCTGTGTCTCTGTCTTCATTTGTCCTTCACTTTTTGTCTTTCTGTCTCTTTCTTTAGATTTTAAAATGCTCTTCAATTTTTTTTTGTGAGAAATCTTTTATTTAAAAGGAACACAGGAAATGCCTTCCATAAAACCCATAGCACAGTCTAATGATGAGAAAAATATCAGACAAACTATAGTAGAGAGACAAACCACAAAAATACATGACCATTTGTAAAACTGTCAAGGGCATCAAAATCTGGACTTATTTTTTAAAATTAATTTTATTCGTACATTTTAGGTATACAATATAATGACATTCATCATTGGAAATTTGCGCCTTTACATAATCTCTCCTGGTTCTTATTTTTTCCCCATTCCCCTGCCCTTCCTTCAACCCCTACACCCTTCCCTATTTACAAAGACTTCGTTTCCATTTTTTCATTTTCTCATATTAATTCCATTCCCTTCTTTCCTTTCCGCTACCCCTCCCACTTCCTCTTCCCTGTTGCCCCTTTTCTTACTATTTTACATTATCTATTATACCTTTTAGTCCTTATTTACACTTTCAGTTTCTCACGCTAGAGAAACTGTTCGGTATTTACACGTATGTGTCCTATTTATTTCACTTAAGGGTATTGCCTCAATGTGAATCCATTTAACTATAAATGTCTCTAATTTCTCATTTTTTATGGCTGAGTAGTACTCCATTTTATAAAAAACCCCCCACATTTTCTTTATGCAGTCTCCAGTTGATAGGCAATTGGGCTGCTTCCAAGTTTTAGCTATTAACAAATTGTGCTGCTATGAACATGGGTGCACGTATATCACTGTGGTATGATTCTTTTAATTCTTTGGGGGAAGATACCCAGCAGGGGAATAGCTGGGTCAAATGGGACCTCTAATCCTAGTTCTTTGAGGTATCTCCACACTGATTTCCACAGTGGTTGCACCAGTCTGCACTACCACCAACAGTGGATGAGGGTTCCTTTTTCCCCACCACCCTGCTAGCATTTGTTTTTGGTTGATTTCTTGATAGCAGCCATTCTTTCTGGAGTGAGGTAGAATCTCAGCAATGTTTTCATTTGCATCTCACAAATGACCAGTG